CACCTTCAAAGGAGATGGATATGAAGATAAATGAAAAGAATAAAGAAAGTAAAGTAGGTAAGCATATTTAATCTAATTCAAAATAATTATATCAATAACATTATATCAATAATTGAAAGTTAATGTTTCATTTTAGAGGAACATATGAAGCAAGCAGCAGAACTACTAACTTCATCAGTTGGTGGAGATAAAGAGAAAATTGTTTCCTCACTGCTATATAGTCTTGCTACTGTGAAAAATAAACAACTTATAGAGGACATGTATGTATATATAATATTTGTAGAATGAATAATATTTATGTATTATAATATGTCTGTAATGTATTTTATGGCAGCGAATCTCCAAGTTTTGAGTCAAAAAATGAAGTTGATAGATTTAAAAAGGGAAGTAAAATATACAGTAAAAATATGAGTAGAACTTCAAAGTTTGGAAATTACAAAGATAAATTGAAAACACCAAATCAAATGTCTTTAAGAACACCATCTGTAATTATATCGTTGAAAGAAAAAAGTCAGAACGAAAAGAGTCCAAGACAAAGGACCTTAAAGAAACAAAACTTACGGAAAGAGCAACAACAGCAAGAGGATCTACAAATGCAACAGTCTATAAGTAAACGCAATGAACCATCCATATTTGAAGAATTAAAAGCGAGTCAGTCTATAAGAGGAGGAATGTATAAAAACCGAAGGATATCTCATAAGAAAGAGAAACTACAAAGTCTACAAGACTACAAGAGTGCTACAACGCCATCAAAACATCAAGTGCAGGAAGGAGAGAAACAACGAGAGCAGGAACAGTCATCAATAATTAAGGAATTATTAAGGAAGCGTAAAACAAAATCACAGTTTTTGGACACTGAACTGGCAATATTAAAAAAGGAGAATGAAAGACTAAAAGAATATGAGTCATCCATAGGCAGATCATTGTTGAGTAAGAAGTTTAATGTAGAGTTGAATGAAGATATGGTCAAATTGAGTTCGCAATGGAGAAGCATAAAGGATGAAATACATGTAGAAAAAAGGATGGCTGGAATTTCGTCTCTACATTGCATATTATTTGATGATGATGTGGAAGCAATTAAAAAATGGTTTGGTTCGCATTGTATTATAAAAAGTAAAGACATTTGCTTGTACTTACAATATTGAATTAATTTTAGGGACGAAAATTATATGAGTAAGTATAACAATATTTTTCATGGAATCAATGTGACTTCTCCAAAAACTGTTGAACTTGACACATGGAGCATGTGTGAGAAGAAATATATGGAAGAGCTAATGAAAAAATACCCAGAAAATGGATTTCAAGAAATGATTCAATGGACTGAGGAGGGAAAACTATGGAAGTTCCCTATTGACAATGAACAAGGTACTATTAGGAAAATAGTACATTGTTCTCCATAATATTTTGTTAAATAACATATTTTTAAATTACACAGGAATGGATGAGGAACAGAATGTACATTTCTCAGAGCATGTATTTTTGGAGCGACATTTATCAGGATGGTGTCCAACTACAGGTCCCATACGTCATTTTATGGAATTGGTGTGTGTTGGACTTTCAAAAAATCCATATCTGAAGGTTCAAGAGAAATATGATCACATAATGTGGTACAAAGAATTCTTTGAAAATAAAAATGATTTACTAAAGAAACTAGGGCTTACAGAGATTGCACAAAATAAAGAGAAACAAGCTCAACTAACTCAATAACAATCTTGTCTGTATATATGGAAAAAAGAGAGTGTAATAAAAAAAAATTTGTATAATTAATACTTCCGTGGATTTATTTTGATTAAATCTAGTATTAAATTTAAATAAATAAATGTCGTAAAATAAAGTTTGATGGTTCAATTGCCAAATTTGGAAGAATCTTTTGAAAAGTTATGATTATCGGAAAAAACGCCTGGGAGCGCTGTGGTCTCGATTTTACGTGTTTTAAATCAATATTTAGGTTAAGGTAAACCTGATTCGTGCATGTAAATTTTGGAAAGAAAAATGAGTGAAGCAGAAAATATCGAAGATGGAAATGGATTGCGATCTGATGGCAGGCGTGCTGTAGAATTAAGGCAAATACGTGTAAGAATGGGAGTTTTCGGACAAGCTGATGGAAGTGCTTACATCGAACATGGTAACACTAAAGTTTTAGCAACAGTATACGGGCCACATCAGGTTATGATTCGTCTCTTTATTTATTCTTTCTAAATATCTAAACAAAGAGATTTTCGTGTTTAACGAATTATTTTAATACTTATAGCCACGAGGTTCTACCGGAAGATCTTCGAGCAAGGTTACTAAAGGCATAGTAAATTGTCAATATAGCATGGCAGTGTTTAGTTTGTCTTCCGGAGAACGTAAACGAAAACCGAGAGGCGATAGGAAGTCACAAGAAAGATCGCTACAATTGAAACATGCTATGGAAGCAATAATACATTTAGAACTATATCCACGATCGCAAATAGATATTTACGTAGAAGTATTGCAAGTAGATGGAAGTGAATACTGTGCGTCTGTAAACGCAGCGACATTGGCTTTAATAGATGCTGGGATTCCCATCAAGGTACCACATAAGGCAAAAAAATCTTTTTATTTCTTTTATTTTAATAAAGTCATTAAGCTAAATTATTTACTTTATAGAATTATGCTGTAGGGTGTACCATAACACTATGTTGCGTAGATGAAGATAAAACATTAGGAACAGGACTATTAGATGCAAATTATATAGAAGAATGTGCTCCTGGTGTTACTTTATCTATTGTTGCTTTGCCAGACAGTGACAGCATATCTAAAGATGGTTTCATAGTGGTAGCTCAAGGAGCAGGGCAACGATTGCATTTATCAAAACTTGAGTCTTTAAAAAAACGAGTTGTGTGCGGTTGTCAGGATATCAAAACCATTTTAGACAATGCTGTAAGGCACCATTTAACAGAACAATCACTTCCTTCCCTTTTTCATGTTACCTCAGACTAGAAGTAATAAAAAGATTTAATACGAAATTATAATTTTATTAACGATATATTTAAATAACTTTTCTTGTAAAATATTTTATAAAAAACATTTTGTAAAAAATTAAATTTCTCTTAGAAAAAAAAATTTTTCTCATTGTACACTTTGTGTTTACTCTGTACAAAGTGATCAGTTCTCGAAAATAATTAGTTATTTCCCATGATTCACACTTTAGCACCAGGGTATCTTTCCATAATCATTCCTACTCCCTGCAGTACAGATAATATGCTTGTTGAAAAGAATTTAATTAGCAGAAAAATCATTAACAAAGTTCATTTACCTGCCCACCAGCTGCACAAGCAGCAATCAACCCGAACTGTTGATCTTCTCTGATAAGTCTATTGGCTGTATGAGTTGCTAATCGAACTCCAGTTGCTGCAAATGGATGACCAATCGATAAAGATCCACCCCACGCATTCCATTTATTAAGATCTGGAATTCCCACTTTTGTGGATCTTCCTAAATAGTTCTGTGCAAACCAATCGGAATCCAATGCTTTTAAATTAGATAAAATTTGTCCGGCAAAAGCCTCATGTATTTCCCATACACCTATATCTTTCACACCTAATTTAGCTTTCTCTAATACCTGCAACAAATTTTATATTGAATACACAACATGTTAAATACATACAAATATATATAAAGAGAAAATTTGTAACCTTTGGTATTGCATAAGTTGGCCCTAATAGTAACTGATCGATGGGATCTTGGGAAACATATGTGAAATTTCTTAAATACGCTTTTGGAGTAAGACCCAGTTGAAGAGCTCTTTCTTCTGTCATAATCAAGGCGGCAGATGCTCCATCAGTCAAAAAGGAAGCATTAGCAGCAGTAACTACACCATATGGTTTAACAAAAGCTGGTTTCAATTTTGCTAATTGTTCTAATGTAGAGACACGAATTCCATTATCTTTGTCAATTATTTGGTCCACATTGGGAACTACAAAAAATAGTAAAGTATAATATTGACCAACTATTTTTATTTATTACAATTTAACTGCTATTACCTTTGTAAGGAACTACATCTGTCAAATATCCTTGTTTTTGTGCATTAGCAGCTAACGTATGTGACCGTAATGCATACTCATCTTGTTCCAGCCTTGATACCCCAAATGCTGCAGCTAATCTATCACCACTGTGACCCATTGTTTCCCCACTAGAAAATTCTGCCACGGCAGGCAACTACAAGTATAAAAGAAATATGAAGTACATTCGATACTTGAAATTTAATTTTTTCTCGAGTTGACTCACATCTGGTACAAAATGTTGTGGCCTAATAGTTGAAAGAAGAGACAGCGTTTGTCCAATAGTCTTTGCTTTGTTAGCTTGTAGCATCAAAGATCTCATACGTCGATTGTGTCTAATCGGTATATCAGACATAAATTCAACTCCACCAGCAATGATTACATCGTACACACCACAAGCAATTAAACCCATACCAGTTGTAAGAGCTTGATTGCTACTGATACATGCCATTGTTACCGTATGTGCAGGGGTATGATCGCTATACCCAGCTGCTAGAGCAGCTTCTCTGCCAATATTAGATGTCTTTACTTCTTGCATTACAGTACCATATACTATATATTCAACTATTTCTTTGGGAAAATTAATCTTTTTTTGCAATGACCTAGTAAAAATACATACTATGTTAAAGTTCTATTAACCTTCTTAAACGATGTGATAACATATACTAGGTAACTTACACCAACGAATGCCTTGCAAGATCGTATGACAATAAGTTTTTGTAACTTGTTCCAGATTGTAAGAATGGTGTCCTAACACCATCAATGTACACAATATTCTTAGTAGCATTGTCTTTAGTTGTGTATGATTTATTTACAACTACATTCCAATAATTTGCAGCAGCTCCTGATATACGAAATAATTAATACCCGGCATCAACATAAATAAGTATTTATAACTTTTTTCCCCCAAAACAATTTAAAAACAAATCGGTTCTGTTTTTTAACTATAGCATTTTGTAGTACTAAATATGAAATTATTCCATCGATATCTTCGAAACTGTACTTTGTACCCATATTATTGAAAATATCAAATTATATCACGCCTAGACTGTGTTCGATTAAGTAACATTCATTTGAATTCTAAATTGATCGATCGTACCGTATTTAGTAAATCCTTGTTTTGTTGCAATGGTATTTTTCAAGAACGAAAGCATTTTTATAACAATTAATGAATAAACAAAGAATACTTTCTCGTATTTGATCGGTCACTGTATGCGACTGTATGTCAGTTTATTTTTTGGACTAAAAGAAACAGCCATGAAATAGTACAAACTATACGTACGCATACTCACGCCTATTTCTAGTTCACACGTCATTATTGAACGCGCTACACTGTTCACGCGGTAAATTTCAAAGTTGTTTGCCTTTTATAATAAATATGAATTTACGAGAAAAAATTTTATGAAAAAACACCAAGTACTTGTTAAATTAATTAATTGAAATGAGAAAGATCTTTCATATTATGTGAAACAGTTGTACTTACAATAAACTGCGACGTAGTATACGACACACAAAATACAACACTTATTTACCTTGCGGTACCCCCATCTGTACTATACATTTCTACGACACGATCTGAAGTGCCATCGCCAGCGGCGCCACATGGTATCCCCTTTCTCAATTACGCAAGTGCGCAGGCGCAGACATTCTGACAGCTTTTTCCCGCGTATGATCTCGTGTGTACGAACAATTCTCAGAAGTGTAATAACAAAACATTAGTTTAATGCATTTTCAGGATGAGTTTAGTGCGCTCCATTGTGGAACGTGAAAGAGGCTCAGGTGAATCCATTTTAATATATTATAGACTGCAAAAAAATCAACCGAAATTTAAATATCCGTTGATAGGTTATATATGACCCTCATAGCGTCATTGTTCACCAAATTGTCAATTATTATACTTGCACGATCTGCCAGAAATTTTGACATATTATATTGCGTTTCAGAATTCATACGTGATTATGACATCGCATTGTATCGTTTAAAATGCTACCAGGATGATGTTTATCGTGGTATAACACCGAACACGAATGCACTCGATTTTAATCCAGAACCACCAGTTTTCGCGTGCCGTTTTTGTACTACAGAAGGGTACGAACAAATAATTGCCTTAGCGAACGAGGATGGAAAAATTGCAATCCAAGATACTAACGTTAAAGGGGTGTCCAATCAACCATTGGAGGGAACCCAGGTAATAATAAAATGAGTATATCGTTTTTTATGTCGTTTAGCATAAAAACGAGTAAATTAAATTAATATTTCCACATAGAGTATGTAATATAAAACACATTATTAATTGTATACAAACAAAGGCAATTAATTTATTTCTAGGCACATTGTAATGCAATATTTGACGTTGCCTGGATGCCAGGTGAATTAAAATTGGTGACAGCTTCCGGAGATCATAGTGCCAGGTTATGGGATATATCTGGCTCTGAAATAAGACAGGTTGACTATTTTCATGCTCATACAAGGAGCGTTAAAACTGCTGTGTTTCGTTATCAAGATCAAGGTATTTAATTATTTTGTAATAAATGTCAGACATATTTTTAAAAGTATTCATTAACACCAATTTATTTCAGCTGTATTTGCAACAGGGGCCAGGGATGGCTTCATTATGTTGTGGGACATTAGAGCCAACCATCAAGAGCAACGTAAACCTGACAATTGCATTGCTAATGCACATAATATTGTCACCATGAGCAACATAAGACAGCGAAGAGCAATTAATCATGCATCTAGAGCACAAAGTATTACCGGTTTAGCATTTCAAGATGATGTTACTTTATTGTCTTGTGCAGCTGGCGATGGGTAAATTTATTGATATTACCATCCCTTGTAACAAGGATATAGATTACCAACAAATGCTATTTTTATTACAGATTAATAAAGGTGTGGGATTTGCGTAAAAATTATACTGTTCACAAAAAGGAACCTATAGCTAAGCATACAATGAACTATAATGGGCACAGTACAAGAAACGGATTCTCATCACTGTTAATATGTCCAGCCAGAATCACATTGTATGCAAGCTGTATGGATAATGTTATATATGCATATAATATATCATCGTATAATCCCAATCCAAGTAAGATTCATAAAAGTGATGTAGTGATATTAAAGAAACAACTGTTAATGTGTTTTACGCATTAGTTTCAGAATATTACGGGCATCAGAATTGTACATACTATGTTAAGACTTGTTTGAGTGCCGATGGACGTTACATAGCCAGTGGTTCTAGCGATGAACTTGCATATGTATGGCGCACAAATAAACCAGGAGCACCAGTCGTTCAACTATCTGGACATACAGAAGAAGTTACTTGCATTGCATGGTGCAACGTTGGAGAAACTAAAGTACAAATAAATATTTGACCATCAGTTTTTCCGCATTGATTAGCATTAATTACATTTACGTTTATTTCTGTTTTCAGATTGTAACATGTTCTGATGATTCCTGCCACAGAATCTGGAGAGTTGGCTATGAACATAAAATAGATAATGAGGAAGTACAAATACGTGGCCATGCTGAAATTGTTCATGCTAAGAATCCTTTAGAGAATTTAAAATTAGAAACAACACCAACCATTACTCGGCGTTGGGTTGCATCCCAGGAACATACTCCAGGATCTGATACCACACCTAGTATGTATTCATGAGACTAGTTATTATTTGATCACATTTCAAATGCTAATTTTTCGTTGCTAGGTGCTACTCCTGGTCCCAGTGATAGTCTCAACCAGACCGAATTTAATCAAACTCATTACAGTCTTAGTAATTCTGTAAAAAGAACTTACTGCCAGATGATGATGGGATCGTGGTCTGAAGGAAAATTCAAATCAATTTTGTCACCAATACACGAAAATAATGAATTCATTGCGAAACGAGCACATTTGGAAAATCGTGGCGCGCGAAGATTATTTAGTCCATATCATGATAATAACCGATTGTACAAGGGCTATGAATCTGACGAGCCAAGCACAAGTTCATTCACTCCAGAGAGTAAGAATGAAATCCTCTTTTCGCCTACGTTGAATCTTCCGAATTTTGTGATTGACGGCACGGCACCACATTTACTTCAAATGTCTCCGGAGAAGTACAAAGAAAACGTTGATTGGTTGACGAGAATACGAAGAGAGAAATTCGAGCATAGATCCGGAAAATCAGTGTCAGAAAAATTAACCGGTGTTACCACAACACCTGCCAGAAGAAATAGCAGATCACGATCCACGGAACCGCAAAAACAAACGAAATTATCTAAAAGTTCGGCTCCCTCTTTATTAAACTTCTTTAAGGTTGCGGGTAAGGATAGTGAAACGAATGCGTGTTGCGATGACGTTAACGGCGTGCCTTCTGCAAAGTCTTGAAAGCAAACTGTTTTTCCTACATGTACTGTATTGTAATTGTTTTATACTTATAGATCTAGAAATTTATTTTATATACCATAGAATTACGTCCAAAACACGGACCAATGAATGTGATGAGAATTTCAGTAAGTTTTGTGAATCAATGCATCTATAATGAAACAGCAACAAATTTCATAATATAGGATGTTTAGGATAACCGTGTAAGTATTACAAAATATTTAAAAATAG